GCTGAGAGAGGGTAATGGTGCACGATGCGCGGTCCCGGGTGATGGTCATGCCTAGATAGTGCTTGAGCTCACCCAGGTGCTTGCATTTGAGGTGTACTTGCATGGCGTCCTTCACCTACTGCATGGCGGCAGCATCGTCAGCGAACAGAATCATGTCGTCGACATACACCAAGATGAAGACGCGGGTGGGAGAGGAGCGAAGGAAAAGGCTGGCATCGGACTGAGAGGCGTGGAACCCGAGGGACTGCAGAGTGGTGGCCAGCTTGTTGTGCCACTCGCGAGGGGCCTACTTGAGGCCATAGACTGGGCGGCGCAGCTCCCAGACTGTGTTGGGAGGAAAGGCCGCATGAAAGCCTTGAGGCCGCCGCTGGAGGACCCGCTCCTGGAGCTCGCCTTGCAGTGCGGAGTTGGAGACATCCATGGAGGCAATCTCCATGCCAATGCAGACGGCATAGTCGAGGAGGGCACGGAGAGTGGGGAGCTTGGCAGTGGGGGAGAATGTCTCCCACTAGTCGATGCCATGGGTCTAGGTAAAACCCTTGGCACAATACCGGGCCTTGTAGACCAGTTCCTCGCCCGCAGCTGCTTGACGCGGAACACCTACAAACCTTCGACAATGGCATTGTCCGGAGATGGGACGGCGTCAACAAAGGAGGCATTGCGGATGAAGCCTTCGCATTCAGCAAAGATGGCCTGGATCCACTTGGCAGCACATGGGGAGGTGATTGCCTCAAGGAAGTTGGACGGGGTGAATATGGTGGGAGTGGTGGCAATGCCTAGGACGAGGAGGCCGAGGAAGCCCGGGTAGAGAGGCCTAAGGGAAGGTGTTTGTTGCTGGATGCTAAGGAGCTCCTCATGTGAGTCCTCGATGAAGGGAAGGGAGGGTGGATGTGGCACTGGCCAATCCCATGGATGGCTGAGGAGTGGGCCATGAGAGCGAGTGTGGACTCGTGGGAGGATGAAAGGAGAACTGATAAGGTGATGCCGATGAGGCTGCCGCTGCGACTGTTGCTGAACCTGCTGCTGCGGCTGCTGCTGCTCCTCCAGTTGCTGCTGCTGCTGCTGCTGCTGCTGTACCTCTGGCTGCAGCTGCTGCTGCACCTCCTGCTGCTGTGGGTGCTGCACCTCCTGGTGATGCTGTTCCGGCCACAGTTGCTGCTGCTGCTGCTGCTGAGGCTGCTGCTGTTGCTGCTGCGGCTGCTGTTCCACCTCGTAATGCTGCAGCTGCTGATGCTGCTCCGGGCGCTGCTGTGGCTGCACCTTCTGCTGCGGCTGCACCTTCTGCTGCGGCTGCTGCTGATGCGAGGAGGCAAATTGAGCTGGGGAGTCAGGGACAACGGGGTTGTAGATGCCGCCAGAGGATGGAGGAGAGGGTGGAGAAAAAAGGTGGAAGAAGGAGGGGAGCTTGGGGAAGGAGTGGGGGAATGACAGCATTAGCCCAAGTGAAGGGACGGGAGGGAGGAGGAAGGGGGTCAGAGGGCAGAGGGGAACGATAGAACGAGATGCTCTCATCAAACACCACGTCAAGGCTCTTGAGGAGACGGCCTGAGGATGGGTGAAGGAAGAGATAACCAGGGGAAGAGCGAGCGTGTCCAATGTAGACACACTCAAGGGCCTTGGGGAAAGCTTCCCTGCCTGCCTAGAGCGGTCGGGAGAGGGGATGAGGACATATGCCTTGCAACCCCAAACACGGAGAATAGCAGCGTCAGGCTTGGTGGTGGCCCAGAGCTCTGTGGGAGTGACAGACTGACGTGGAGAATGTGGGTAAAGATTAGTGAGGAGAGTGGCATGAACATGAGCATAGCCCCAGAGGGAAGGGGGGGTGGAGGCATGAGTGAGAAGACGGCGGGCCGTCTTAGTGATCTCACGAATGCGGCTCTCACCAACACCATTTTGCTGAGGGGAGTGGGGAAGGGTGTGAGTCTGCTGGATGCTATGGGTTGAGCAGTAGGAGGAGAGGGTACGGTTCAGAAACTCACCACCGCCGTCGGAATGGAGGCGGGGAATGGGGCGACCAAAATGGAAATGGCACTGCTCGGCCCAGACAACAATGACAGCAGAGGCCTCGGCCTTCGTGTGGAGAAGGAACACCGAGGAGTACCTGCTGTGGTCGTCGACTGGGACAAGCATATACCGGTGCCCTTGGCACAAAGGGGAAGGGTTAGGGCCCGAGAGATCCATGTGGATGAGGTCAAGCGTGTTAAAAATAGATTGCAAATCCCACTTTTGTATTTGTACTTTTATATCCTAGTTTAGGTTAGGAATGTTCTAGTGGGTTGGGGTGTACTCACAAAATCCCAACCTCACCCAACTGTGATCCCCCCAATCTCCAAATACTCAATTTGAGATTCCGGAGATCCCAGTGGTGATTCCCTCCGATTCCCTCTTCATCCATTCTCCCTTACCTTGCCATGTACTTAAAGAGCCTTGAGCTCCTTACCGAATCAATCATTTCAGCTCTATTTTTTACATGGTATCAGAGCGACCTATCTGCACACGCGGATCAAGGTCCTAATCTTAACGTGCCCGCGCTACGCGCACCTCATTGTCGCTACATTCGTCTCGAGTCGTCCCGAATTTTCAACGTGCTCCACTCCGCAGTCGCGCCTCTCATCGTCGACCGCCTTCGCGCTCGACCTCTTTGAATGTCTCATCTTTGAAGTTTTTACGCTTCTCATGTTTCATTTTAGCGGCATTTCGACGAAGCCATCAGAGTGATTTTCAGCAGTTCTCGTCGACCGATTTCCAGAAGTGCCGCGCTGCACACGTGAGTTAAGAGCGTCGCTTCGCGAAAATCAAGCGAGAATGGCTTACTCAACCACTTCACTCGCCAACCCGATCCCGCTCCTTCGTCTCGAGCCGGACGGTACATGCTCCAACTACAAGGCTTGGCGCTATGGTGTCGACAAGCACCTCCTCAGTCGCAAGGTGAAGGGGCTCGAGCTCACCAACGTTCTTCTCAACATTGGTGACGGCAAAGAGCCTCCTAAACCCGAGAGGTCTGCCGATCCAGCTAATGCCGCCGCCAAAGCAGTTTATACTGCTGCACTGCTCAAGTACAAGATTTGGGAGAAGGCCGATGGTGCGGTGATTAGTGTTTTCATGGGCACCACTCCTCCCGAACTCGTCAAAACCTACCACAACTACCCGTCTGCCAACGCCATTTGGCTCTACCTCGAAGACCGCTTCCTGAACAAGACTGCAGTGGGAGTTGCTATACTCATCCCCAGCATGTTCCAAGTGCGGCTCGAGGACTCGCCAGGCATGGCGGATGATGTCACCAAGGTGCAGTCCATTCATGGTGAACTCAAGCAGTTGGGGATAGTCTTCCCCGAGCAAGCCCCTGCAGCCGCTCTCCTAGTCGGCCTCACTCCGGCATACGAAGTCACACGCAAGATGCTCTTGGGTCTTGTTCTCGCGGACCTCACATTTGCCAAGGTCTCATCAGCACCCCCTTCTGCCAAAAAGGACAACAATGCTCAAGCCAATGCCAATGCAATCCGCGCTCCTGTGCCTCAGGCCTATGCCACTTCGGCACCTTTCTAGCGCAACCGCTTCCCCCCGTGTCCCTACGTCATCAAGCGCGGCCCTCGTGCCGGCCATGTGTGTGGCGGCACCAACCACGCCCTTGCCTATTGCTTCAAGAAGAAGGATGACGAGTGGTATGCCGTCAATGGGACCGCCTCGAAGCCGCCAAGATGGATGGTTAATCGTGCTCCTCGCCAAGTCAATCAAGTCGAAGCGCAGGAATCTGTGCAGGCTGCTGTAGCTCCCACTGCTGATGTGCACCTCAACATGTTGTTCATTGGCACTGCCAGGATCAGTGAGACAATTTCGCAGTGTCCGGGCTCACAAAACACCTCAGCCACAGTAGATTTCACTCTTGAAAGTAGGGTCAATCACACAGTTCTCAAGGAAGAACACTCCTTTAAGCCATACGAGACACCAATCACTCTACTAGGAGCAGAATCCAATTTCACAACACACGCCTGGGGCTCCTTCACAGTTCCGAGCCCAGCTTTCCTTCGGGCAGTGTCACCGGCATGTGTGTTCCCACACTACGCCACAATCTCGTCGCCTAATACGAGCTCCAACAAGCAGGCGTCACCACGATCTTCCCAGCACCCTCGGATCACTGTGACCTCCTCGACCCTAAGTCCAACAAGCTCCTAGCATGCTTCACACTCAACAGCAGCAAGCTCTACACGCTGCGTTCATCTGCACCTCTCGCCGCCCTCTCCCAAGCGCAAGCTGCCAACACCACTCCGTGTTCCTGTCGCAGCTTCGCCAACCCAACTATTCTCTACCACCATCGCTTGGGTCACCTCAACTTCCATATGCTTGCCGACATTGCATCCAAGAAACTTCTTCTTGGCCTCCCCTCGGCGCTTCCTCCACCAACAGACTCACCTGCACCTACATGCCTGGACTGCACCAAGAGTATGCTTAGGTAGCAGCCGCACCCTTCCTCCCCATCTGTTGCAGCTGCTCCGCTGGACCTAGTGCACATGGATGTCTGGGGCCTAGCTCCAGTTGTTGGTTACAGAAGGCTATCAACAGATGATTCATTAGCTCCTTGGAAATTTCTGCAGCACTTCGTTATGACGCCCAGAAAACTCGCGACCTTCGAAAAGTTATATCCAAAACTCCAATCAGTGAAACAATCTGAAAATCGGATATGTTGTAGCGTCTAGCGTCAGATTTCCAATGAAAGTTGAATCACTTGATTCCGTAGCTGATCGAGTGAGCTATGGCATTTGGCGCACTGGGGGGTAATCTGCTCTATCAGAAATTGACAGTTTTCAGAATCACTATGATTGAAGCTTACAAGTTCAAAGGCATGATAGAAAAGGCATTGAAGCACAGTTGGAAGGTGGGGATGGAAGGGAAGGATGGAAGGAAAAAGTCCCACACATGCTGGTCCTTCCTCGTTATAGGGCTCTCCAACTTTGGTGTAGCAGCTGCCAAGGACTTCCTATGAGTTGTAACAAATCCATCAAACATTTCATCGTAGCTTCTTCATATGTGCTCCGATTCCAACAATTCTTGGCTCGTTGGAATGTGCTCGATGTCATGCACAATCCAAGCACATCTGCACAAGCACAAGATGAATATGCAAAGACATGCAAACCCAACAAACCACACAAACAACGTAGCACACAAAACACATGCAACGAAATGTTGCGAATTGACGACAGGATGACGTGCAAATGAATATGCAGCAACACACTCCCCCTCAGACTGTCGGCTTGTTTTGCCGTCTCTAGTTCAAGGACATTCCCGCCATCCTCCCACAGCGCTAGTGTGGCTCTTCAGCTAGCCGCTTGGTATGGAAGTCGTCTTGCTGTTGCTGAGTTTTCACGTACATCGGATCTAGTGTCCCAAGCTTCACCTCCTTCCGCAGCCAATGCCAATTGATCCTCATGTGCTTGTTCAACCCATGAAGAACTGCATTGCGTGCCATGGCAATGGCTCCCTTGCTGTCAGTGAACAGAGGTGTCGCACAAGTTTGTTCATGGCCGATCTCCTTCATGAGCCTCCTTAGCCAGATGATTTCTTTTGCCGCATGAATCATCGCCATGTACTCAGATTCCACTGAAGATAGTTCCGTCTCAGACTGCTTCTTAGACCTCCAACTTACACGCCCACCTCCCACCATGCAGATGTATCCACCTACTAATGATGAATCCTCATGCTCAGAAGCCCATGTGGCATCAGTAAAACAGGAAAGGAACACCTTTCCTTCTCCGAGCTGCTCCCCCTTCTCTTTGAGGACTTCAACTCCTTTTTGCCTGAGTTGAGCAGAGGCTGAATACTGTACTCCCACTGTAGGGTATGACTTGAGGTAGCGCACCACTATCTCTGCTGCACCATACTGCTCTTCTGTTGGATTTTGCACTACTCGAGCCAGCTGTCCCACAGCAAAGCTGATGTCAGGCCGAGTATGCACAGCAGCGTAGAGTAGGCTCGAGACCATGCATTGGAATTGCCTCTGGTCTTTAGTCTCAACTCCTTCTCCTTCAGCTGCCTTTATGAGTTTGAACTCGGAAGGCAAAGGTGTAACCACTTCCCGTTCTTCCTGCAGAGAGTACTTCTCAGCCAAGGTGTTGATGTACTGTCCCTGATGCAGCTTGAGCCAGCCACGTTCAGTATCCCGCTCAATGTGCATTCCCAGGTAGTACCTTGCCTCTCCAAGTGACTTGCACTTGAACTGCTCTGTGAGCTTACGCTGCACCCCATCGATCTCCTTGTCACTGCTGCTGAAGAGCAGGATGTCATCCACGTACACCAGCAGAAGCACAAGCGACTCCCCCTCGCCCATCAGGAATAGGCTCTCGTCGCATGCACTCGCACGGAATCCAATCCCTTCCAGTGCACTGGCCAGCCTGTTGTACCAGCATCTCGGGGCCTGCTTCAAGCCATAGATGGCCTTGTTAAGTTTGCAGACACGACCGGTTCCATCCTCATAGCCAGGTGGTTGAACCATATACACCTCCTCTTCCACAATGCCGTACAGAAAAGCGGTTACGATATCCATCTGCTTCACCTTCCATTTGCGCACAGCAGCTACCGCTAGCAGCACACGTAGCGTTGGAGACTTAGCAGTTGGGGCAAACACTTCTTTGTAATCTTCCTTCTCTTTCTGCTGAAACCCCTTTGCTACCAGCCTGGTCTTGTAAACTGATGGCTCTCCTTTCTCATCCGTCTTGATTTTTGCCAGCCACTTGCACTGTATTGCCTTCTTCCCATTTGGCAAGTACACCAGGTCCCATGTGTGATTCTCCATCTGGCTGTTGTACTCTGCATCTCTTGAAACGAGCCACTTCCCCCGTTGAAGCCCGGCTAGAGCATGATCCATGCTCGGAGGTTGTATTGGTGCGTAAAAGCAGTATGCAGGCTCCTCGTCATCTGACTCTTGGTCATCACCCAAGAACAGCACTGCATCTTCACCTTGAGCCTGTTCCTGCTGCTCAGTTGTGGCTCCTCCATTTGTAGAGCTCAGCAGCTTTCTCGTTGCCATTCTGGTACGTGCAGGGTAGATGGTTGGATTTACCCATTCTTTCACCTTCACCCAATCCTTTGTCCCCCCACCAATCTGTTTCCTTCGCTTTGGCAGACTTGGTGTTTTGGAAGCCTCTTGCTGCTGCTGCTCCGGATCCTTGACTTCAGCATCAGCTGCAATATCCTCATTGCTTCCTTCATCAATACCGCTTGCCGTTGGCGCCGTGACTTCGCTGTCCTCAGGTTCGGACAAATCGAAGTGCATAGTGATCTCTTCTAGCTGCTGGGTGACCCTTGCCTCAGGCTGCTTCTCCCACTTGCCATACATGATGTTCTCCACAAATTTGACATCCCGACTGTCAAACAGCACATTCTTCGAGGGCTCCCAGAGTAGCCACCCCTTGCTCTCTGCCGCAAGTCCAAGGTGCACACACCACAGTGCAGATGCTCCAAGCTTTGTCCTGTACGGTTTAGGGACATGCGCCACTGCCATGCATCCGAACACTCTGAGCATGTCCACTGGAGGCTTCTTTCCAAGCCACCTCTCCAGCGGTACCCACATATCATCAGCCACCTTTGTGAGTACGCGGTTCCTTGCCACTGTAGCATGCCTCACCGCATGAGGCCACATGGAGTTCCCCAGCCCTGATTCGATCAGCAGCGCTCGTGCAGTTTCCAGGATGGTCCTATTAGCCCTCTCAGCAACGCCATTTGACTGAGGGGTATAGGACGTCGTTAGCTGATGCTCAATGCCTTGTTTCTTGAGCCACGCAGTCAGATCTCCTCCTAGAAACTCTCCACCTCGGTCGGTTCTGATGCTCTTGCATGGGTGCCCAGATTGTCGCTCGACGAACGGCAGCCAGTCATCTCGTATTGTTGAGGCAGCATGATCCTTTTGCTTCAACGGGTATGCCCACATCAGCCGACTCCAGTCATCAACTATTGTTAGGAAGTAACTTTCTCTCTTACTTGAACTGGAAAAGGTCCTACCAGGTCCATGTGCACCAGTTCCAGTGCTGCCTTGCTTTTCCCAGCTACGCCGTGAAAGGGGAACCGTGTGAACTTGCTCAGCAGACACGTCTTGCACTTGGTATCATTTGGTTGCCTAGAAAGCTTCAGCCCCTTTACTGCTTCTTCCTTATGCAGTTGCTGCAGCAATGGCATAGCCACATGCCCTAGACGCCTGTGTGCGGTTTCCCAATCAGTCTCCCCCGACCTTGCAGAAACTGTCACTCCTGCAGCACTAACTGCATTGCACTCCCCCTGGACTCCAGATCCTGCCTTTACTGCTCCCAACTCCTTCTTTGTTGATTCCCATATCAGTGCAGGGATCTGCCAGATGGATCTGAAGACATCTCTGCTTTCGTGTAAATCCCATAACACACGATCTCCTCGCAGCCCCTTGAATGTTTTGGATCCATTAGTGGTGGTGCTGACTCCGGCCTGGCCTAGCTTGCGCAGCGATATCAGATTGGCCTTCAGCCCCGGTATGAGTAACACGTCCTTCAACACAACCAGTCCACCATCAGGTGCCCTGAATGCAGCTCGACCAACTCCAGCGACCTTCACTGCATGTCCGGATGCTGAGCGCACTTCAGAGATTGGAGGCGTTCGCACAGCATCCAGCAAGTCCTTGCGTGGTGTCATTGTCCATGCAGCACCAGAGTCCATGACCCACATGTCAAGCGGGTGCAATTCCTCTCCAGCCCTTGCAACAGCTGTGCCACTGTCATCTTTGTCACACACATGGTAGAACTGTCCAGCATTCCTCTCCTCATTTCCCATTCCTTTGTCGTCCTGGGAGATTTCTTCAACATGATCAGCTACCATTTTGGCACCTCCACGTGGTTGCTTTCCTCCATTCCCCTTTTGCGATTGGTTCCAAGGGGTCCACCAGTCGGGCTTGGTAGAGCAGCGAAACCATGGATGCCCTCCTTCCTTGCAATACCAGCACTCTCCCCTCAAGCGTGGTTCACTGTTGGCATTGTTGGAGTGACCACCTCTTCCTCTTGCACCAGCGCCACCACGCCCCCGCTGGTTCCAAGTCCCACGACCACCTTGGTTGTAGTAAGAGCGACCGTGATTGCCACGCCCTCAATCTCTCCATGTCCCTTGCATGGCATAGCCACTGGTGCTGTCATTACCTCCGCGCAGTGTATAGCGACGAAAATCTTCTTCCAGAATCTTGGTGCGAATCCACTCCAATGTCCATTGACTTTGGTTTTGTGGCTAGCTGAGTCCACTTATCAATTGCAGCCAAGACTCGGGCAGCAGGCTGAGCATCTTGAGACACTTAGTCTGCTCGGGGTACGTGATGCCAGCAATCGCCAATTTTGTGTAGAGTTCCCTCATCTTGTCCAGTACAGGCTGCACAGGTTCATTCTCGCTCAACCGCAGCATGGACAGCTCCCGATCCAGCATGAGAGAAGCGGCAACCGATGTCGGGGCGTGCAGGTTCTTGAGCACTGCCTATGCCTTGGACACGCCGGACGGAGAAGGCCCCGGAGAAGGGGCAGCGGCCGGAAGTGGGGCATCAAAGTCTGCACAGAGAAGCGTCGGGGGAGGTGGAGGAGGCTCGTCCGTGGTCGCAGAGTGGAAGGACCGTGTCTCATCGAAGATGACATCACGCATGCGAATCAGCTGTCTGGTGATGGGGTTGAGGAATAAGTAATCTGGGGAGTCAAAGTTGTGCCCCAGGTATATGCAGGTCTGGGTTATGGGTCCAAGCTTGCCACCTTGCTTCCTGCGCATGTTGGGGCTGAGCAACACATACGTGGTACACCCCCCGACGCGTAGAGAGCGGGCGGAGGGCGTGGCCCCAAGCCAGAGAGTGGTAGGTTTGGTGTCGGGCCGGTGGGGATCCGGATAAAGATTGTAGAGGAGTGCCGCATGGAAGAGGGCATATCCGCAGAGTGACCGTGGTGCGTTGGCGTGACTGAGGAGGCGGCGAGCGATCTGAACCAACGTGTGGTTGCGGCTCTCTGCAATGCCGTTCTGCTACGGGCTTTCGGGGAGCGTGAAGGTTTGCCGAATCCCTTGGGCCGCACAGAAGTTATCGAGTTTGCCATTGCAAAATTCTCCCCCGCCATCATAATGGAGGCACTTCAGAGGAGTGCCGAACGTCTCTTGAGCCTGGCGCACCTGTAAGAAATCCAAAGCAAATCCCACTTTTGTAATTGTACATTTATATTATAGTTTAGGTTACGAATGTTCTAGTGGGTTGGGGTGTACTCACAAAATCCCAACCTCATCCAATTGTGATCCCCCCAATCTCCAATTACCCAATTGGAGATTCCAGAGATCCCAATAGGGATTCCCTCCGATTCCCCCTTCATCCATTCTCCCTTACCTTGCCATGTACTGATAGAGCCTTGGGCTCCTTACCTAGTCAATCATTTCAGCTCTATTTGTTATATGGTATCAGAGCGACCTATCCGCACACGTGGATCAAGGTCCTAATCTTAACGTCCCCGCGCTACGCGCACCTCATCATCGCGACATTCGTCTCGATTCGTCGGAATTTTCGTCGGGTTTCGCGCCTCTCATCGTCAACCGCCTTCGCGCTCGACCTCTTTGAATTTCTCATCTCTGAAGCTTTCACGCTTCTCATTGTCCATTTCCTCCTCGAACCTCCTTGGTCAAATCTCAAGTTCGACCATCTCTTAAAACTCATTTTCGAGTTTCCTCTCGGACCCCGCCAGCATAGGCGAACTCCCCTCGCGGAATCGCCTCCATGAACGTCTCGCGTCAAGCAAGAGCAGGTACACAGGTGGAAGCGGAGCGGAGCTGGTTGCGGAGCTGGTTGCGGAGCTGGTTGCGGAGCTGTGTAGCTGCGGGACAGGGCCTGGGGGTGTGTGGGAGGGTGTGTGGGTCCGGGGTTAGACTTAGGCTCAGATTTAGTTTCAAGTCGATGTTTAAACCAATTCCTGCCGACGCCATTTCCTTCTTAGCGGCATTTCGGCGAACCCGTCCGAGTGATTTGCAGCAATTCTCGTCAACCGATTTTCAGAAGAGCCGCGCTGCGCACCGAAAATCAAACGGGAATGGTTTACTCAACCACTTCACTCGTCAACCCGATCCCGCTCCTTCGTTCTCGAGCCGGACGGTACATGCTCCCACTACAAGGCTTGGCGCTATGGTGTCGACAAGCACCTCCTCAGTCGCAAGGTGAAGGGGCTCGAGCTCACCCAACGTGCTTCTCAACATTGGTGACGGCAAAGAGCCTCCTTAACCCAAGAGGTCCGCCGATCCAGCTAATGCCGCCGCCGAAGCAGTTTATGCTGCTGCACTGCTCAAGTACAAGATTTGGGAGAAGGCCAATGGTGCGGTCATTAGTGTTTTCATGGGCACCAATCCTTCCGAACTCGTCGAAACCTACCACAACTACCCGTCTGCCAACGCCATTTGGCTCTACCTCGAAGACCGCTTCCTGAACAAGACTGCAGTGGGAGTTGCTATACTCATCCCCATCAGATCAGCCGGGTATCTTCCCCTCGGGCTTTGGCATGGTGACATTCCACGGCGAGAGGCAGTGCGGGCAACGGCCTTGGCTGAAGGCTCTTGGTGGCGAGGCGACGACCGGGAGGAAGACAGCAGCTGCGGCAGGAGGAAGAGGAGACGCAGGGGAAGGGGGGGGCGGGGGGGGCGAATCTTCTGCGACGCGCCATGGGTGGTGCGGCGCTTACTGGCGGGAGAGGGTGAATCTTCAGCGAGGCACCATGGCTGGCGCGACGCGTATTGGTGGGAGAGGGCGAATCTTCAGCGAGACACCATGGCCGGCGCGACGCTTACTGGCGTGAGGGCGTTATGACTGGTGCCTAGGAGAGGGCGCTGGCCGCAGCTGTCCGTGCGCTCGCGTGGCGAAGCCGCCACGGCAGCACGACGGCACGGCGGCACGGTGACCCAGCGGCACGGGGGCGTGGCGGCACGGCGACCCAGCGGCACGGCGGCACGGCGGCACCGTGGCACGGCGGCATGGCGGGACAGCAACACTGAGGCACTGAGGCACGGCGACGTGACGGGGCCGGCGCGGAGTGACAGGTTTGGCGCGGCGTGATGGGGCCGGCGCGGAGGGACAAGGCCTGCACGGCGTGACAGGGCCAGCGCGGCGTGACGGGGCCAGCGCGGAGGGACGGGGCCGGTGCAGAGTGACGGGGCCGGCGCGGCGTGACAGGGCCAGCGCGGTGTGATGGGGCCTGCGTGGAGTGACGGGGGGGGGGGGGGGCGAGGGGGGAGTACGCTGCGGAAGCGTGGGGAGAAGGCCCGAGCGAAAGGGGCCTGCTCTAATACCATGTTAAACTAAGCTAGGTTGGAGGGAAGCCATGGAATGACGTGAGGTTTAGGAAGGAGAAAGTTGATGAGAGAAAAGAGGTCAGACTAGAAAGAGAAAGGGATATAAGGAGGGGATTGTACCCTCTACAGTAGAGTTCGATAAACCTACCAAACCTACCAATTATATAACAAAACATATAATTTAACAATACTAATACAAGGGTTCAAGTCAGACTTCCGCTGTGTTACCAAAGCACTATATCCACTCAAGGACTTAGTCTCTGAAAAGATCCTCCTACGGCTATTCTCAGCCCAACAAGCATCCTTCAACAGCCACGACTCCAAAGACACGTATTGCAAACCTGCGTGTATTTTATATAGTATGTTAGAAACTGTAACAAGAAGAATTGACTATAGAGGGAGGTGGTACAGGTTATATACCTAGGGAGCCAATCCTAGGTCAAGAAGGGCTTGACCAAACCAACCATTTTTGGTTGGACCAATGATGGTTGGGAAGGTTGGACCACCAATAATTGAGGAGACAATAATGTTGGTGGAAGACCAACAAGATTGAACACCTTGATAATTGGGGTCACAGGTTGGTAAAATATCCAACCCCAATATTCATCTACACCCCTAGATAGCCCAACTTTGTGTGAGACAACTCCTGAGTCAGATAGGGAAGGAGGAGGAGCGAGGAGCAAGGCAGGCCTAGGAGGCTGAGGAGGAGGGAGTGAGGAATGCGAGGGAGAGCCTTGGTGAAGATGTCGGCAAGATTGGCAGAGGAGTCAATCTTGTAGACGGTGAGATGGCAGGCTTGGACGAGTTTGCGAACGAAGTAGTGGCGGAGCTCGATGTGCTTGGAGGGGCCATGGAAAACTGCTTCTTTGGTGAGGTGTATCATGCTGGCATTGTCGCACCAGATGGTGGGGCAGGGCTGAGGGGCACCAAGTTCCTCGAGAAGGTAGCCGAGCCAGCGAGCTTCCTGTGCAGCCATGGTAA